GGGGGGGGGGTTAGGGGCAGGGCAGGGAAGAGCAGGGTGGTGTTTGAACATCACAGGTTACTTAGAAGTTGACGAATAGAGTTTGGTTTGGCGTGATAGAGTAACTGAGAGAACTCCGTACCGGGTCGCAACTTTGATTTTCTATAGAGGAGCCAAAATATTTAGACTACTATTTAGACTAACTATCAGCACTTTGTACATACCTTCCTTGAGGTCACATCTAAACATACAGCATATAAAAACTCCACACTCTTACCCATTTTTTCGAAAACTATACATGCTCCCAAATGACCCGTATTCTGAGAATCACTCAGTGGTGTTTCCTTACTGTCATCCACTCACCCTATAACCTCAAAATTAATGCCAAGAAGACCCAGGCCATTATTGTTGGGAATGTAAAACTCCTAAAGAAACTTAAGAAACTGAAGAATATGCCGACTCTTGAGGTGGAGCCCTGTGCCGCACTCGCTGCATTCCTCATGCGCGCTGCAGGCCTCTCCACACTGGTTGCAGCAGAACAGCGAAACAGCCTCGTCGTCAGCTGCTACAGGGACTTGGGATGCTGCAGGAAATCCGACGAAACGCGGCGTTGAGACAGGAGTGTTCTGCAGAGCGGACGTAGACTGGCGAAGAGGTGTTTTCAGGATGGAGCGCGGTGCCGACTGGAGTACTGGGGCAGCTGGAGTAGTGGGCTGGACAGGTGGTGATCCGGTGAGCATGTGGAGTGGGACACCTCGCCGTGGAGTCATCGGAGATGGCTGCGATGCTCCTCCTGCTGCTTCGTCTTGGGTGGCCTGCTGCACAGAAAATACAGGTTTGAAGTTCAAAGTCCAGGTCCAAATTGTTTCTAAGGCAAGTAGCTGATGTTTACTTACCGTCATTGGCGAATCTGCGTTGCCAAATCGCATTCCCTCCAGGAAGTCCTGCAGCTCCTCCTCAGTCTGCAGATCATCCACTGCTCCAGATGGAAACTTGGAGCGAAGGCCCACTTTCATCGGGCTCCCGAACATCGCCTCATAGGGGGAGATCCGAGTGCCCTGATAAATGGCACGGTTCTTGGCGCACTGGATGAACCGCAGACCCTGGGACCACTTGGTGGACCGGTTCTGCATCATCCAGGCAGTCAGCATGTCTTGAACATCTTGATTTGCACGTTCCACCGAGCCCTGCGATTGCGAGTGCCTCGGCTTCCCGTGCACAATTTTCACCTCTTCCCATTTTGCCTGGAATGCAGTAGATAGTTTAGGAATACAGTTCAATTGTACTAAAGCAAAATTTCGAGTAGGCAGTCAAACTTACAGTCATCTCCGTGATCAGGTGATTGCAGAACTCGCGCCCGTTGTCCGACTGGAGGACCGACGGCGCCCCGAAGATGCAGAACACATCAAGCAAATTGTCTGCCACCTCTTCTGCCGTCTTTCTTTCCAGCGGCCGCAGGACTACAAATTTGGTGAGATGGTCCTGATACACGAAGATGAATCGGTATGCTCCGTCCGGGTGACTCTGCATGTCAATGAGGTCGACCTGGCAGCGCTGATTCATTTCCTCGAACACCATTGGCTTTACCACAATCCCTCTCTTCTTTGGCTTCTTCTTCGCCAAGCAAATGCCACACAGAGACAGGAATAGCAGGACGGCCTCTTGGCTTACATTGCAGTATTTTCGCCCGAGGATGGGCAGCATGCGGTTCTTCCCCCCGTGAGAAACCGCCAAATGGGCCTCCATGAGGGCGTCGTACATCTCGCCGTTACTCACGTAATACTTGATGTCGCCTCCAGTTGGAGGCTCGATGAGCCGCTCCTGTCCGTTCACCGTGCAGATGGAGTACTTCCTGATGCGGTCGCGGTCCTTCTTTGTCCTTCCAACTTTCTTCTCCGTTGCCTCCTTCACCTCCTGCACCACTTTCGCGTATTTCTCCTCCGACAAATACGCAGCATTAATGCCCTTCTTCTCCGTTATGGCTGCCAGCTTTTCTTCGAATTTTTCCCGGTTGGGGGGAAGATCTTCAGGATGCTCCATTTCAACGTGTGTGTTCAACGCCTCGAGTGACAAGATTGTTTAAAGGTTTAAAACTAGCGCCAGGCAACCACCCAACCCCCACCACCTCTACAACAATAGGGCGTGTTCAATAGCGCGCCGTTATGTCTGAGTCGAGTCACTGCCAGCTAGAGGCATACTTACACTCAAAAACCTCGAATATTGAACGCGCCCTATAATAGGTTGAGACATGAGCATAAGAAACTTCCCCCAGGGACTACTTTAGCCGCGCTAGCTAGGGACTACTTTAGCCGCGCTAGATAGGGACTACTTTAGCCGCGCTAGATAGGGACTACTTTAGCCGCTCTAGGCCGGCTAAGGTCTACCTTAACCGGTTAAGGTAGGTCCCAGCCAGCCTTAGCCGGCTAATGTAGGAATGAGTCGGGGGCACTGTACACCTTAGCCGAAATTTCGGCTAGGACCGACCTTAGCCGGCTAGAGTCGGACCTTAGCCGGGGACCCGACATTAGCCGTAACAGATGGTTCCAGCATTGAATATTCAAACGTAGTTAAAGACCTTGGTGTGCTGGTCGACCAGAACCTCTCCTGGGAACCGAAGTCTGAAGCATCCTGCAAAAAGGCGTTAGGTGCTCTGCACGGCCTGAGAAGGCACCAACACTTCATACCCCGAAATGTCCGGAAGAGGCTAGTTGAAGCCTTGGTGTACCCGGTCCTCGACTATAGGAACACGGTCTGCTCTAATCGGCTGGTCCAATCAAGAAACAAATTACAAATACTCCAGAATGCCTGTGCCCGCTTCATCTACAACCTGCGGAGAGACTGTCGTATAAGCCCGTACATCAAAGAACTGGGCTGGTTGAATGTTAACCATAGGGCCTCTAACGCAAAGTTAACCCATCTTAAAAAAGTTATGTTAAGGCGTGCACACCACCGTATATCTTTGAAAAGATTGTTTTTGAGGCCGATTTAAGGTCTAGACCTGCCAGAACTTGTCATTTACACCTTCGGGTACCACCTCATAACTACAAGGTAGATGTACGCCAGACCACGTCTCGCGTAACAGGCTTCGCGATATCCCACGAAACACTGTTATGCTGCGACGCGCCTGGCATACATCTACCTTGGCCTGCGGCGCTGACACCCGAGTTTGGTAGTGCAAAAATGTACACAAAGATACGGGCCTTCGGCCCGTCAAAGGACCGTCACTTCGACTAAGCATGCAGGGTCCTACATTTTTTCACTTATTTACGTCAAAAACACCCGCTAGCGCCTTAACGGTTTGAGCTAGAGCAAAACGGAGAAAATTTTCGTCCGCAGGCCTCAACCTGTATGTGTTACCCCTTAGAACACCTTAAAAAATATTTTTAAAAAAAGACAATTTTGGAACCCGTCGTTTTTGATTTTTTAAAAATCCAATGTTTGAGATAGAATGCTCATCTTCGAACTCGTTCTGTCTTTTTATAACACAAAACGACCCTGAAAATCCCAGGTCGCTAGCTCAACTCGTTCTCGAGTTATCGTGCGGACAGACAGACAGACAGATAGACAGACAGACGTGCAGACAGACAGACAGACAGACAAAGTTTTTTTCGACCAGACTGAGTAATAGGGTTCGCTAATCGCTCAGCCAATAATAAGCTTGCTAGAGTTTTCTGGGTCCATGTGGTTTCACTCTGGAATAAGTTGCCATGTACTCTTCACACTGTGTCTTACCTACCATCCTTTAAGTTTATGCTTAAGTGCCACCTACTTAATGTACAACATAGCGCATAATTTTCTACCTAACATTGTGAAAACTCCCTTTATACCTGTTATAGTCTGGCATGGTGCCTGTCTGTCTGCTCATTTAACATTTAACCCTGCAATTATGATTTGGACTTGTATTTCCACTTTTACCACTCTGATGGTACTCCAGTTGGACTCATTAGTCCTTTTGTACACTGTTAAAAAAATTGCTGTAAATTTACAGCGAAAATGTGATTAATTTTGTTAGCAGCATATACTGTATTTTTACAGGCCTTACTGTAAAACAGCAGCGTTAATGAAAATGTCGGGAACAAAGTTTCCAACCAAAAGAAGTTACTTTGTTTTGCTCCTGTAAAAAAAAAATTGTAATAATACGAGTGTCCTGTTTTGGAACGAAATGTGCTGCTAACAAAATTAACTTCTCTTTTCTTGTAAATGTACAGCAAAGTAATACGTAGTAGTTTTTGTTTTGGGCCACTTTGGGCCGAATATCACAAGTTTCGAGAGTGTTCAAATGAAAACAACATTTCTGTTACATTACAGGAGTGTCAATCAGGCAGTGAGTCATTAGGTGACAGTTATTTTTAACAGTGTACGTCTTATGAATAAATCAATCAATCAATCACCCCCAACATCAGAGTCATCAGCATCGTCAGAATCCTTATCATCACTGTCTGAACCACCAATGTTTATCACCATCTGAAAGGGGTGATCTGGATCCTCATCTTGAAGCTCGGTGTCATAAGCTTCCTCAATTCTCCTTCCAATTTTGTCACCAATTCTGTTCCAAACAGTTGCAGGGGCCTCCTCAAAAATTGTTCTCATCATCTCCTCAGAGTAATCGTGCCCCCGACCAACATGGGCATCAAAGTATCTCTTCACCAAACCGCATGCCAGTTCAATTTGATTGAAACAGGCGTGATAAGGAGGAAGTCTTAAAATTTCATGCTGTGTGCCTTTAATGCACTCCTCAATCAAGAATTTCTTTGGCTTTCTATACATTTTCACTAGTGCCAATAGCTCAGCCTTCAGCATGTCCTTCTCAAATGGAATGTTTTCCTTCTGCAGCCAAGCTGAAATTTCAGGGATGTTGGAGTCTGATGTTGGCTGCTTGTCTTCTTCAGCCTGTAAAAACACCAATTATATAATCAACTCAGTGGTTAAAACAGATCACATAGCATGCCCATGCAGTACCTTTCTTGTAATGCAAAAGCCGTAAGCAACGACAATTGAATAACTAAAAGCCCAAGTGAAAAGCATGCAATCTACAATGATGTAACATACCCAAATAAATTTGAATGCATATTATGCATAAGTCCCAGTCATGACAACCCTGAATGAATGATGTTTTCCATGCATACCCTCCATGAAGGGTTTAAAAACACAAATGTAACATTACAGTTATTAGTTAATTCATTTCAAAACCCTTATTGTACAGAATTCGAGAAAAAATAAAAATAAAAGTATAATTGCCTGGCAGAAGTGGTGCTTTGCATTGTCCATTATTATGGTACTGGGCACATCCAGGTTGGGAACGAAGTCCAATGACCACCACCTCAGAAACAATGCACCATTCATGTCCCCGTGGTACCCGTGTAGAGCGAAACCCAGTAAAATTGACGTAGATTTGTCGTTTTTGAAACTACAATTTTACGACGAAAGAACGACAAATTTCTCTTCAAAATTACGACAAATTAACGGCAGTTCCGCTCGTCATCATTTACAGCGCGCAAGTCACTACAGAATAACGACAAATCTACTGGAGGCTGCGCGCGCCGAATGCGATGGCAAGCGGACGCCTCCACAGTCAGTCGTCCACTGAATCTGGATTTGTGATAAATTAACCCTCATTTCTGCCATAACTCGTTTTTTGCGGAACCTTCGATTTATCGCTTTTCTGGACATGATAATTTTTTATCGCAAAAAAACATGCAATAAGAAGTTTAAGGGAAAGTTATCACAAAAGTAATGTGATAATTTTTCATCGCAAGTTTTTGTGATAAACGTAAATACTATCTCCCGTTATACACTAAACTTTGCGATGAAAAGTTATCATACTATTTTTGTGATAACTTGCCCTTATACTTTTCATTGCATGTTCTTTTGCGATAAAAAGTTATCATGTCTATAAAAGCGATAAATCAGAGGAATCGCAAAATTGAGTTATCGCAAACTTTTGTGATAAAAGTATCATAGATCCAGTTTCAGTGTCACTTCGGCCGAGTAGATACAATGTCAGGTTGTCAGCAGAAGGGCGGCGGTTCGCCTCCCGCTCGCTCCCGACTGCCTTTCACGTTTTTGCGCAGCCACACGCACACTTGTGATAAATTTGTCGTTCTTTCGTCTTTAATATGTACGCTTTCACGACAAAAAAACCACAACTCTACGGCAAATTTACGTCGCAACTTGCCCCCCCCCC